ATGGTTTGAAGGTATGTTTGGTTTGAAGGTGATTTACGACATTTAACTGACGGTTTGAAGGTGTTTTATGACATTTAACCGACGGTTTGAAGGTGTTTTACGACATTTAACCAATTTAACCGACGTTTTGGAGGTGGTTTACAACATTTAAGGTTTGAAGGCGATTTATGACATTTAACCGACGGTTTGGAGGTGTTTTACGACATTTAACCGACGTTTTGAAGGTGATTTACGACATTTAAGCTTTGAAGGCGATTTACAACATTTAACCAATGGTTTGAAGGTGTTTTAGAACACTTAACCAATGGTTTGAAGGTGATTTACAACATTTAACCAACGTTTTGAAGGTGTTTTTGGTTTGAAGGTGTTTTACGACATTTAACCAATTTAACCAACGTTTTGAAGATGTTTTACGACATTTAACCAATTTAACCGACGGTTTGAAGATGTTTTACGACATTTAACCAATGGATTGGAAGTGTTTTACGACATTTAACCAACGGCTCGAAGGTGATTTACGACATTTAAGCTTTGAAGGCGATTTACAACATCTAACCAACGGCTCGAAGGCGCTCACCGGGGCTCTGAGGGTGTTTAGGGGGCCGAGGTTACTCGAACAAAGCGGGAACGTTCCGCTCGAACCGTTTCGAGCTCCTCCACCGAAGCCCAACCCCCCCCCTCACCTTGCCGTCCAGGTTGGCGATGCTGCAGTTGCACTCGGTGGCCCCGTAGAACTCGCCGATCTGGCGCAGGCGGAAGCGCCGCGTGAACTCCTCCCACAGGTGGGGCCTCAGCCCGTTGCCCACGGCCAGGCGGACGCGGTGCCGGCGCTCGGCCTCGCGCACCGGCTGGCTCAGCAGGTACCGGCAGATCTCCCCGATGTACTGGATGATCTGGGTGGGAAAACGACCGGTCGGGAGTCAGGAGTGATCCTCAGAAACGGCAGGGAAAGCGGGGAGAGCAACCCCGGGGTGGGTTTGGGTGTAGGAAGCGGAGGTGAAGAAGGTGGGAGGACCACGTGGGGATGGGGAGGTCTGCAGGGTGAAAAGACGCTCCTGAAATCCCCTCCCGTGGAAAGTGTGGGAAAGACCAGAAAGTTTCGGAACTTGTTAAGTTACTGACGATGTTAAACACTCATTGCCTTCTTCCCCTCTTTTATGCCCATAAAACATCGTGTAATAGTTTTTGTTACTTCTATTCCTAATCTCCTTTGCCCCGTCAATTCAAATTTGCTGTCGGGGAGAGGGGGAAGTGGAGACGAAGAAGGTGGAAAGATCATGTGGAGATGGGAGGGGCTGCAGGGTGAAGACACCCCTGAAATGAAGGGTTGGACACCCCTGAAATCAAGGGTTGGACATTCCTGACATCAAGGGTTGGACACCCCTGACATCAAGGGTTGGACATTCCTGACATCAAGGGTTGGACATTCCTGACATCAAGGGTTGGACATTCCTGAAATGAAGGGTTGGACACCCCTGACATCAAGGGTTGGACACCCCTGACATCAAGGGTTGGACACCCCTGAAATCAAGGGTTGGACATTCCTGACATCAAGGGTTGGACATTCCTGACATCAAGGGTTGGACACTCGTGAAATGAAGGGTTGGACACCCCTGACATCAAGGGTTGGACATTCCTGACATCAAGGGTTGGACATTCCTGACATCAAGGGTTGGACATTCCTGACATCAAGGGTTGGACATTCCTGAAATGAAGGGTTGGACACTCGTGAAATGAAGGGTTGGACATTCCTGACATCAAGGTGGATCAAGGGTTGGATTTGATGATCTCGGAGGTCTCTTCCAAAAGGGGATGGAGAACGTGGAGAAGGGGATGGAGAACGTGGAAAAGGGGATGGAGAACGTGGAAAAGGGGATGGAGAACGTGGAAAAGGGGATGGAGAACGTGGAAAAGGGGATGGAGAACGTGGAAAAGGGGATGGAGAACGT